CATGGAAGTTTAATAATACAAGAGCATGGAAGTTCAATAATACAAGAACATGGAAGTTCAATAATACAAGAGCATGGAAGTTCAATAATACAAGAACATGGAAGTTCAATAATACAAAGCATGGAAGTTCAATAATACAAGAAATGGAAGTTCAATAATACAAGACATGAAGATTCAAATAATACAAGAACATGGAAGTTCAAAATACAAGAGCATGGAAATTCATAATCAAGACATGAAAAGTTCAATAATACAAGAACTGGAAGTTCAATAAATACAAGAGCATGGAAGTTCAATAATACAAGAACATGGAAGTTCAATAATACAAGAACATGGAAGTTCAATAATACGAGACCATGGAAGTTCAATAATACAAGAGCATGGAAGTTCAATAATACAAGAACATGGAAGTTCAATAATACAAAAACATGGAAGTTCAATAATACAAGAACATGGAAGTTCAATAATACGAGACCCTGGAAGTTCAATAATACAAGAGCATGGAAGTTCAATAATACAAGAACATGGAAGTTCAATAATACAAGAACATGGAAGTTCAATAAGACATAAATAAGACATAAATAAGACATAAATAAGATATAATAAGACATAAATAAGACATAAATAAGACATAAATAAGATATAATAAGACATAAATAAGACATAATAAGACATAAATAAGACATAAATAAGACATAATAAGACATAATAAGACATAAATAAGACATAAATAAGACATAAGACATAATAAGACATAAATAAGACATAATAAGACATAATAAGACATAATAAGACATAATAAGACATAAATAAGACATAAATAAGACATAAGACATAATAAGACATAAATAAGACATAATAAGACATAATAAGACATAAATAAGACATAAATAAGACATAAGACATAATAAGACATAAATAAACATAATAAGACATAATAAGAACATAATAAGAATAAATAAGACATAAATTAAGACATAAGACATAATAAACTAAATAAGACTAATAAGACATAATAAGGGCATAATAGACATAAATAAGAATAATAAGACATAAGACATAATAAGACATAATAGACATACTAAACATAAATAAGATCATAAATAAGACATAAGACATAATAAGACATAAATAAGACATAATAAGACATAATAAGACATAATAAGACATAATAAGACATAAATAAGACATAAATAAGACATAATAAGACATAATAAGACATAAATAAGACATAAATAAGACATAAATAAGACATAATAAGACATAATAAGACATAAATAAGACATAAATAAGACATAATAAGACATAATAAGACATAATAAGACATAAATAAGAGGATCTGTATATGTACATTTGGACGAAATTTAATAAAAAGTCATTTAACATTTTCAAAGAGAAGATAATGCGAGGATCCTCACACCTTCATGAGGAAGATGATCCTCACACCTTCATGAGGAAGATGATCCTCACACCTTCATGAGGAAGATGATCCTCACACCTTCATGAGGAAGATGATCCTCACACCTTCATGAGGAAGTTGATCCTCACACCTTCATGAGGAAGATGATCCTCACACCTTCATGAGGAAGATGATCCTCACACCTTCATGAGGAAGATGATCCTCACACCTTCATGAGGAAGATGATCCTCACACCTTCATGAGGAAGATGATCCTCACACCTTCATGAGGAAGATTTATCCATCACACCTTCATGAGGAAGATGATCCCCACACCTTCATGAGGAAGATGATGCTCACACCATCATGAGGAAGATGATCCTCACACCTTCATGAGGAAGATGATCCCCACACCTTCATGAGGAAGATGATCCTCTTACCTTCATGAGGAAGATGATCCTCACACCTTCATGAGGAAGATGATCCTCACACATTCATGAGGAAGATTATCCTCACACATTCATGAGGAAGATGATCCTCATGCCTTCATGAGGAAGATGATCCTCACACATTCATGAGGAAGATGATCCTCATGCCTTCATGAGGAAGATGATCCTCACACATTCATGAGGAAGATGATCCTCATGCCTTCATGAGGAAGATGATCCTCATGCCTTCATGAGGAAGATGATCCTCATGCCTTCATGAGGAAGATGATCCGGATGCCTTCATGAATGAGGAAGATGATCCTCATACCTTCATGAGGAAGATGATCCTCATGCCTTCATGAGGAAGATGATCCTCATACCTTCATGAGGAAGATGGTCCTCATGCCTTCATGACGAAGATGATCCTCACACCTTCATGAGGAAGATGATCCTCACACCTTCATGAGGAAGATGATCCTCACACCTTCATGAGGAAGATGATCCTCACACCTTCATGAGGAAGATGATCCTCACCACCTTCATGAGGAAGATGATCCTCACACCTTCATGAGGAAGATGATCCTCACACCTTCATGAGGAAGATGATCCTCATGCCTTCATGAGGAAGATGATCCTCACACATTCATGAGGAAGATGATCCTCATGCCTTCATGAGGAAGATGATCCTCACACATTCATGAGGAAGATGATCCTCATGCCTTTATGAGGAAGATGATCCTCATGCCTTCATGAGGAAGATGATCCTGATGCCTTCATGAATGAGGAAGATGATCCTCATACCTTCATGAGGAAGATGATCCTCATGCCTTCATGAGTTAGATGATCCTCATACCTTCATGAGGAAGATGGTCCTCATGCCTTCATGACGAAGATGATCCCCACACCTTCATGAGGAAGATGGGTCCTACACCTTCATGAGGAAGATGATCCTCACACCTTCATGAGGAAGATGATCCTCACACCTTCATGAGGAAGATGATCCTCACACCTTCATGAGGGGAAAATGATCCTCACTACCTTCATGAGGAAGATGGATCCTCCACCTTCATGAGGAAGATGATCATCACACCTTCATGAGGAAGATGATCCTCACACCTTCATGAGGAAGATGATCCTCACACCTTCATGAGGAAGATGATCCTCACACCTTCATGAGGAAGATGATCCTCACACATTCATGAGGAAGATGATCCTCATGCCTTCATGAGGAAGATGATCCTCATGCCTTCATGAGGAAGATGATCCTCATGCCCTCATGAATGAGGAAGATGATCCTCATACCTTCATGAGGAAGATTATCCTCATGCCTTCATGAGGAAGATGATCCTCATGCCTTCATGAGGAAGATGATCCTCATGCCCTCAGAAAGAGGAAGATGATCCTCATACCTTCATGAGGAAGATTATCCTCATGCCTTCATGAGGAAGATGATCCTCATGCCTTCATGAGGAAGATGATCCTCATACCTTCATGAGGAAGATGATCCTCATGCCTTCATGACGAAGATGATCCTCACACCTTCATGAGGAAGATGATCCTCATGCCTTCATGAGGAAGATGATCCTCATACCTTCATGAGGAAGATGGTCCTCATGCCTTCATGACGAAGATGATCCTCATACCTTCATGAGGAAGATGATTCTCATATCTTCAGCAGGAAGATGATCCTCATACCTTCAGGAGGAAGATGATCCTCATACCTTCATGAGGAAGATGGTCCTCATTCCTTCATGAGAAAGATGATCCTCATACCTTCATGAGGAAGATGATCCCCATGCCTTCATGAGGAAGATGATCCTCATTCCTTCATGAGGAAGATGATCCTCATGCCTTCATGAGGAAGATGATCCTCATACCTACATGAGGAAGATGATCCTCATGCCTTCATGAGGAAGATGATCCTCATGCCTTCATGAGAAAGATGATCCTCATGCCTTCATGAGGAAGATGATCCTCATACCTTTATGAGGAAGATGATCCTCATGCCTTCATGAGGAAGATGATCCTCGTATCTTCATTAGGAAGATGATCCTCATACTTTCATGAGGAAGATGATCCTCATGCCTTCATGAGAAAGATGATCCCCATGCCTTCATGAGGAAGATGATCCTCATGCCTTCATGAGGAAGATGATCCTCATGCCTTCATGAGGAAGATGATCCTCATGCCTTCATGAGGAAGATGATCCTCATACCTTCATGAGGAAGATGATCCTCTTACCTTCATGAGGAAGATGATCCTAATACCTTCATGAGGAAGATGATCCTCTTACCTTCATGAGGAAGATGATCCTCTTACCTTCATGAGGAAGATGATCCTCTTACCTTCATGAGGAAGATGATCCTCTTACCTTCATGAGGAAGATGATCCTCATACCTTCATTAGGAAGATGATCCTCATGTCTTCATGAGGAAGATGATCCTCATGCCTTCATGAGGAAGATGATCCTCATGTCTTCATGAGGAAGATGATCCTCATGCCTTCATGAGGAAGATGATCCTCATGCCTTCATGAGTAAGATGATCCTCATGCCTTCATGAGTAAGATGATCCTCATACCTTCATTAGGGAGATGATCCTCTGCCTTCATGAGGAAGATGATCCTCATACCTTCTGAGGAAGATGATCCTTATACTTAATGAGGAAGATGATCCTCATACCTTCATGAGGAAGATGATCCTTATACCTTAATGAGGAAGATGATCCTCATACCTTCATGAGGAAGATGATCCTTATACCTTAATGAGGAAGATGATCCTCATACCTTCAAGAGGAAGATGATCCTCACACCTTCATGAGGAAGATGATCCTCATACCTTCAAGAGGAAGATGATCCTCATACCTTCAAGAGGAAGATGATCCTCACACCTTCATGAGGAAGATGATCCTCATACCTTCAGCAGGAAGATGATCCTCATACCTTCAAGAGGAAGATGATCCTCATACCTTCAGGAGGAAGATGATCCTCATATCTTCATGAGAATGATGATCCTCATACCTTCATGAGGAAGACGATTCTCTTAACTTCAGGAGGAAGATGATCCTCTTACCTTCAGGAGGAAGACGATCCTCTTACCTTCAGGAGGAAGATGATCCTCTTACCTTCAGGAGGAAGACGATTCTCTTAACTTCAGGAGGAAGATGATCCTCTTACCTTCAGGAGGAAGAGGACGACAATGCAGGTGAGGCCGAGTGTCAGGTCCTGCCATCGACGATCTTGGATATTTGAGAAAACTTTGATCCAAGTGTTGATCAGTCCTTTGGTCTTGAGACGAAGACCAAACAGTAGCTTGAGCTGAGAGGAAGCTATAATGATAGCTGCAGCTGAGGTGAACCCACTGATGACTGGCACAGAGATGAAGTTGATGACGAACCCTGAAAATGTAATATTAAAATATTAAAATTATCAGAAACTATGTAAATGTAATATTTAGAAGACAAACAGAACAGGAACCATGGAGACGTAATACTTAGTAGAGAAACTGAACAGGTACCATGGAGACGTAATACTTAGTAGAGAAACTGAACAGGAACCATGGAGACGTAATACTTAGTAGAGAAATTGAACAGGTACCATGGAGACGTAATACTTAGTAGAGAAACTGAACAGGTACCATGGAGACGTAATACTTAGTAGAGAAACTGAACAGGAACCATGCAGACGTAATACTTAGTAAAGAAACTGAACAGGAACCGTGGAGACGTAATACTTAGTAGAGAAACTGAACAGGAACCATGCAGACGTAATACTTAGTAGAGAAACTGAACAGGAACCATGGAGACGTAATACTTAGTAGACAAACAGAACAGGAACCATGGAGACGTAATACTTAGTAGAGAAACTGAACAGGAACCATGGAGACGTAATACTTAGTAGAGAAACTGAACAGGTACCATGGAGACGTAATACTTAGTAGAGAAACTGAACAGGTACCATGGAGACGTAATACTTAGTAGAGAAACTGAACAGGTACCATGGAGACGTAATACTTAGTAGAGAAACTGAACAGGAACCATGGAGACGTAATACTTAGTAGACAAACAGAACAGGAACCATGGAGACGTAATACTTAGTAGAGAAACTGAACAGGAACCATGGAGACGTAATACTTAGTAGAGAAACTGAACAGGCACCATGGAGACGTAATACTTAGTAGAGAAACTGAACAGGAACCATGCAGACGTAATACTTAGTAGAGAAACTGAACAGGAACCATGGAGACGTAATACTTAGTAGAGAAACTGAACAGGAACCATGGAGACGTAATACTTAGTAGAGAAACTGAACAGGAACCATGCAGACGTAATACTTAGTAGAGAAACTGAACAGGAACCATGGAGACGTAATACTTAGTAGAGAAACTGAACAGGAACCATGGAGACTTAATACTTAGTAGACAAACAGAACAGGAACCATGGAGACGTAATACTTAGTAGAGAAACTGAACAGGAACCATGCAGACGTAATACTTAGTAGAGAAACTGAACAGGAACCATGGAGACGTAATACTTAGTAGAGAAACTGAACAGGAACCATGGAGACGTAATACTTAGTAGAGAAACTGAACAGGAACCATGGAGACTTAATACTTAGTAGAGAAACTGAACAGGTACCATGGAGACGTAATACTTTGTAGAGAAACTGAACAGGAACCATGGAGACTTAATACTTAGTAGAGAAACTGAACAGGTACCATGGAGACGTAATACTTAATAGAGAAACTGAACAGGAACCATGGAGACGTAATACTTAGTAGAGAAACTGAACAGGAACCATGGAGACGTAATACTTAGTAGAATAACTGAACAGGAACAATGGAGACGTAATACTTAGTAGAGAAACTGAACAGGAACCATGGAGACGTAATACTTAGTAGAGAAACTGAACAGGAACCATGGAGACGTAATACTTAGTAGAGAAACTGAACAGGAACCATGGAGACGTAATACTTAGTAGAGAAACTGAACAGGAACCATGGAGACGTAATACTTAGTAGAGAAACTGAACAGGAACAATGGAGACGTAATACTTAGTAGAGAAACTGAACAGGAACCATGGAGACGTAATACTTAGTAGAGAAACTGAACAGGAACCATGGAGACGTAATACTTAGTAGAGAAACTGAACAGAAACCATGGAGACGTAATACTTAGTAGAGAAACTGAACAGGAACCATGGAGACGTAATACTTAGTAAGAGAAACTGAAACAGGAACCATGGAGACGTAATACTTAGTAGAGAAACTGAACAGGAACCATGGAGACGTAATACTTAGTAGAGAAACTGAACAGGAACCATGGAGACGTAATACTTAGTAGAGAAACTGAACAGGAACAATGGAGACGTAATACTTAGTAGAGAAACTGAACAGGAACCATGGAGACGTAATACTTAGTAGAGAAACTGAACAGGAACCATGGAGACGTAATACTTAGTAGAGAAACTGAACAGGAACCATGGAGACGTAATACTTAGTAGAGAAACTGAACAGGTACCATGGAGACGTAATACTTAGTAGAGAAACTGAACAGGAACCATGGAGACGTAATACTTAGTAGAGAAACTGAACAGGAAGCATGGAGACGTAACCTCTCAGGGAAGATGGACAGGAAGGATGCAGATGTAATACTCAAAGAAGGAATCAACATCCCTGCGGATATAACAACGTTGTGAGAAAAAATAAATTAAGGCTGGAGTTAGAGTGGGAAAAAAAGAAGTGAAGAAGAGGTGATGAATTAGACACCTGTGTAACATCTGTGTGTGTTTACAGTATTAGGGGCAGTATAGCTGTGTGTTAGAGACAGTATAGCTGTGTGTTAGGGACAGGATAGCTGTTTGTTAGGGACAGTATAGCTGTGTGTTAGGGGCAGTATAGCTGTGTGTTAGGGACAGTATAGCTGTGTGTTAGGGACAGGATAGCTGTGTGTTAGGGACAGGATAGCTGTGTGTTAGGGACAGTATAGCTGTTTGTTAGGGACAGTATAGCTGTGTGTTAGGGACAGTATAGCTGTGTGTTAGGGACAGTATAGCTGTGTGTTAGGGACAGTATAGCTGTGTGTTAGGGACAGTATAGCTGTGTGTTAGGGACAGGATAGCTGTGTGTTAGGGACAGTATAGCTGTGTGTTAGGGACAGTATAGCTGTGTGTTAGGGACAGTATAGCTGTGTGTTAGGGACAGGATAGCTGTGTGTTAGGGACAGTATAGCTGTGTGTTAGGGACAGTATAGCTGTGTGTTAGGGACAGTATAGCTGTGTGTTAGGGACAGTATAGCTGTGTGTTAGGGGCAGTATAGCTGTGTGTTAGGGACAGTATAGCTGTGTGTTAGGGACAGTATAGCTGTGTGTTAGGGACAGTATAGCTGTGTGTTAGGGGCAGTATAGCTGTGTGTTAGGGACAGTATAGCTGTGTGTTAGGGACAGTATAGCTGTGTGTTAGGGACAGTATAGCTGTGTGTTAGGGACAGTATAGCTGTGTGTTAGGGACAGGATAGCTGTGTGTTAGGGACAGTATAGCTGTGTGTTAGGGACAGGATAGCTGTGTGTTAGGGACAGTATAGCTGTGTGTTAGGGGCAGTATAGCTGTGTGTTAGGGACAGTATAGCTGTGTGTTAGGGACAGTATAGCTGTGTGTTAGGGACAATATAGCTGTGTGTTAGGTACAGGATAGCTGTGTGTTAGGGACAGGATAGCTGTGTGTTAGGGACAGTATAGCTGTGTGTTAGGGACAGTATAGCTGTGTGTTAGGGACAGTATAGCTGTGTGTTAGGGACAGGATAGCTGTGTGTTAGGGACAGTATAGCTGTGTGTTAGGGACAGGATAGCTGTGTGTTAGGGACAGTATAGCTGTGTGTTAGGGGCAGTATAGCTGTGTGTTAGGGACAGTATAGCTGTGTGTTAGGGACAGTATAGCTGTGTGTTAGGGACAATATAGCTGTGTGTTAGGGACAGGATAGCTGTGTGTTAGGGACAGGATAGCTGTGTGTTAGGGACAGTATAGCTGTGTGTTAGGGACAGTATAGCTGTGTGTTAGGGACAGTATAGCTGTGTGTTAGGGGCAGTATAGCTGTGTGTTAGGGGCAGTATAGCTGTGTGTTAGGGACAGTATAGCTGTGTGTTAGGGACAGTATAGCTGTGTGTTAGGGGCAGTATAGCTGTGTGTTAGGGACAGTATAGCTGTGTGTTAGGGACAGTATAGCTGTGTGTTAGGGGCAGTATAGCTGTGTGTTAGGGACAGTATAGCTGTGTGTTAGGGGCAGTATAGCTGTGTGTTAGGGACAGTATAGCTGTGTGTTAGGACAGTATAGCTGTGTGTTAGGGGCAGTATAGCTGTGTGTTAGGGACAGTATAGCTGTGTGTTAGGGACAGTATAGCTGTGTGTTAGGGGCAGTATAGCTGTGTGTTAGGGACAGGATAGCTGTGTGTTAGGGACAGTATAGCTGTGTGTTAGGGACAGTATAGCTGTGTGTTAGGGACAGTATAGCTGTGTGTTAGGGACAGTATAGCTGTGTGTTAGGGACAGGATAGCTGTGTGTTAGGGACAGTATAGCTGTGTGTTAGGGACAGGATAGCTGTGTGTTAGGGACAGGATAGCTGTGTGTTAGGGACAGGATAGCTGTGTGTTAGGGACAGTATAGCTGTGTGTTAGGGGCAGTATAGCTGTGTGTTAGGGACAGTGTAGCTGTGTGTTAGGGACAGTATAGCTGTGTGTTAGGGGCAGTATAGCTGTGTGTTAGGGACAGTATAGCTGTGTGTTAGGGACAGTATAGCTGTGTGTTAGGGGCAGTATAGCTGTGTGTTAGGGACAGTATAGCTGTGTGTTAGGGACAGTATAGCTGTGTGTTAGGGGCAGTATAGCTGTGTGTTAGGGACAGGATAGCTGTGTGTTAGGGACAGTATAGCTGTGTGTTAGGGACAGTATAGCTGTGTGTTAGGGACAGTATAGCTGTGTGTTAGGGACAGTATAGCTGTGTGTTAGGGACAGGATAGCTTTTGTGTTAGGGACAGTATAGCTGTGTGTTAGGGACAGGATAGCTGTGTGTTAGGGACAGGATAGCTGTGTGTTAGGGACAGGATAGCTGTGTGTTAGGGACAGGATAGCTGTGTGTTAGGGACAGTATAGCTGTGTGTTAGGGACAGGATAGCTGTGTGTTAACATAAGAACATAAGAACGAAGGAACACTGCAGAAGGCCTACTGGCCCATGCGAGGCAGGTCCAAGTCCCTACCGGCTTAAGCCAATGCACCCAACCTAGTCAGGTCAGGTCACATTGAGTTAAGGGAGGAACACGGCAACGACCCGTTTGCACAACTATCAGGCTAATCACACCCCCCCACCACTCATGTATTTATAAAAACCCATTTTAAAGCTACCAACT